CATGGAAAAATATGCCATGACTTTTCCAATGACTCAATAGCTCTTATAAGAAAGAGTTAGTTCTCGTAGGAGCTGTGCTTCCATCAGCCATTCTGCATGCCTAGGATTTAGACTTTCCAGCAACCAGAATCATGAGTTTGTAAATAAATCTGTCTTTATAAAATCATGCAATTCAGGTATTTTTATTAGCAGTGCATTAATCAACTAAGACACCCCCAGGCAGCTGGGGAGTTTATGTGAAATAACTTGGGTAGAAATCACAAGCTCCCAAGAAGAGCTCAATATCCAATAGTTGAATTTGTCATTAGATGATCATAGTCATCTATTAAGAAGAGATCACACTGTGGGTACTGTGATGAGCAATCTATGTACATGCCTTTTGTAATTAAACGCTGAAGACAGGCCTATGAGGTAGGTAGTATTTTCATCTTTGTGTGACTAATAGAGATGGAGGTACATACAGACTAGGAGAGTAAGTTGTCCAATGTCAAACAGTGTGAAGCCAGGATTCAAATCTCCATCTGTCTGCTTCCAAACACCTGTGATCCTTATCACTCTACTGACAATTTTTCTAGAATGATAGAGAGCTAACATTGGAGTAATAGGAAAGGTGACCCAGTATCAAGCTTTTCACACTTCCCCAATATCTCCTTTGTATGCCTGATTCCCTCTGAAACATGTTGTCAACTGGCTAACCGGCTCCCATTTGCTCTCTTCAAGTAATGGGGCACTCACTCCCTGCAGCCTGCCCTATTTCCGGACAATTCTAATGGTTTGAAAATGCTTCCTTCTCTGGTCACACGGATTGATTTCAGATCCAAAATTGGTACTGAGTAGATGCATCCTTGACTGTCACTTCCAGGAAGGGAATCTCTGACAAGTCCCCATGGCTTTTAGAGGTAAAATAGTCATAACTTGTTCTTCTTTAAAACTGCCAACAGCATGAAGAGAATCAAGACAGAAGACCAAAATTGCTTTTCTCTCCTCTCACTAACACTGTCAGCGTGGAACAGACCAACTGTGGAGGATCTTCAATTGGGACTAAATTTATATTCATTCAGGTGTCACTGGACTGTGCTTTCTGGCTTCTCTTCTCTGATCAATGCACTCATTAAAGGACCCAGGCTCGACAATAGATTCACCTTAATGCTTGTCACCCTGGGGTTTCAATAACACGGGCTCTAAGATTCTAACAAGCTGCTGGAGAATAAAAAGAAAAAGCTCTTTTTTGCCCTTCTTATATGGAGTCTTGAAATTGTCTCTCTTCATCCTTTAGAAAGAGTTCTGTTGTCTGTATAAATTTTATTTAGGAGACTTGAAGGGCACATAAGGGAAGAGGAAGGTTGGGAAAACATTTATATAAAGCAGATATTCAAGGGGACCCCTTGGTTTATTTAGTCCAAAACTTTGAAAATTTTAAATAGCATTTATTTCTGTGCTTCTTAACTTGGAAGATTCAGTCAGACATTTTACAAAAAAGGTTTGTTTAACATTTATACAACTACTTTGTTTTTTTCTTGACAGAGTCATGTCTTCATTTAAAATGGGGGAGGCTGAGAGGGAGAGAATCAAGGGAAGAAGAAAGAAGCAAAACATTTAAGGGACCGAAAATGGAAAGACATCTGCTGATTATAATGTATATGGTAATGTCTTTGCCTGGACCCATATGTATTCATGATGGGAACACTCATTTGGTACGCAGAATGATACACAGTGATTAAATGGAAAAAATTAATAAATTCATTTTTAAAAATCTCTTTAGAATATGAGCACATGCTGATTTTTGTTGTTGTTGTTGCTGGCTGATGTATTTTCCAAAGTTTATTTATTTTCTGCCATAATAAGAGAGGGTGGAGGAGGGGGAAGAGAGACGGCACCCCCAACAGTCTAGACACTGTGACCCACCCTTTGCCTCAGCCAGCCTGCATCATGGGCATGCTGGTGCCCAGTGTACTCAGGCAGATCTCAGGCGAACAGACTCTTCCCATGTGGGTCAGCCCCGCACAGCATTGCGTTTTACTAATGTACCGCCATCCGCCTCCATCCCATGCTCATGGATTTCCAGTTTCAAACATAGTATGTGTGCCATGTTCTTATTATGCACTAAGCTACTTATCACATATATTTCACACATTGCTTCATAATATGTTAGCATATTGTTACTGAATAACATGGAATAGAAGTTCTTATCCACTTTCATTAGATGATCTCCTTTTTTAATAATTACACATAAGGCAACAAAAATATCTCCATGCACATATATTGCCTTTGGTTGAGTTATTTCTCTGGGATTGATTTCCAGGGATGTATCACTGGATCAACACAGTCTTCTGACTTGCTATCTTCATTTAGTTGTGTATTTTTTTTTTCTAAACAGAACTTGCCCATTGTTATGGTTTGAATGCTTCCCCCAAACTCACGTGTTGAGATCTGGTTGTGATAAAATGAAGAGAATGAGAACTTAATCTGACTATGGTGTTGCAAGGTAAGATTAAGGTCACTAGTGTGAGGCCCCCATGATTGACTCCTGGTAGGTTTATAAGGAGAGATAAAGAGACAGAGACACATGGACACAAAGAGATAAGTTCCTCTTTCTACCACGTCCTAGTGCAAACCAGACAACCCTCATCAGATGCCGACACCACACTTCTGGAATTACCAGCCTCCAAAAACATGAATGAAGTAAGCCTCTATTCTAAATTATGTAAACTCAGCTGTTCCTATTATTAGCACCAGCATGGACCAGAAAACCCATCTATGACATATCTATGTGGAAGCATGCACCGGTTTCACCACAGCTTCACCAACACCAAATGATAACTAAATGCCTGCATTGTGAACTTGACCTGATGATCTTCACCTTTCTACATTTATTTAAATTTTATAGGGAAATGATAATCACCCTTCGAAGCCTTCATCATCTGTTTCTAGTATGGACACCAGTTGTATTTTCTGAGATCGAACCACGGTCATGATCTCAATTTGGATGTCATAGTGCTTTATGTCTCTTAAGATTTATGGCTGTGTGTCCCATCTATTCCTCTCACAATAAGGGTCTACACTGAGTGATCCAGCTATTCGTCTCAGGAACTGAATATTCACCATGTGGTAATCTCTGTGCTAGGAGTTACAATGGTCATGTTTGTTTGACGGACGAAGAAACTGTGGCACAGACTAGAATATATTTTGCTGCTTTGTTGGGCTGAACCAGAGTCGAGTTTTTCACCTGAAATTCATGGTGGACTCTGTTTACTTCACGCAAACCATTAATGTGTAGAATTCAGTGGCTATGCTAAGAATGCTGTTATCATGATACACCCATGGGTATATTTTAACAAGGCTGGAAAAAGACTATAATATTTTTTAATAACATAGGCAAGAAAGTAATTCTATGAACTCCTTTGAAACCATTATAACTAGCATATTACCGAGCCTCCATCAGCCAGAATACCAGCTGGAACTTATTGTGTGTTCCTATACACGAAGCTCTGTGCTAACTGCTGCATGGGTGCTATCTCAGAACCACTATCATCTTATTTTATAGACAAGGCAAATGAATGCTATAGAATTTAATAAGCTCATCTAAAGCCATATTGGTAGCATGTGGTGGAGCTAAAACATAAACCCTCTTCATTCTATCAGATTCTGTCACCCTAAGGTTAAGCACTGGGCATTCGAACTGGAAAAAAAAAACATGGACCAAATCTTTGTCAACTTCTCTTTTTTTTTTTTTCACTACAGGGCGCGTGCGCTCGCCAGACAGACAGAGAGAGACATAGAGACAGAAAGTGAGAAATCACCCCCCAAGGGGGATGGTCACGCCGCAATCCCTTCTCCTCCATTCTCCTCCCGGGATCTTGGGCACGCACTCACACGCGCCCGGCGTGAGTTTTAAGCCACTGGGTCCGGGACATGAACCGCAGTCGACTATGTGGGAGTCCAGCAACATAGCCATTACGCTAACTGCTGGCTCCCTCAACTTCTCTTTTAATAAAAGAAAAACTTGAGGTGGAGAGAAGTTGAGTTACTGGTTCCAAACCATGTAGTGACAGATCTACTATTAAAGCCATGCTCCCCAAATCTGCCCTTCAGAGAATTGCAAATAACTTATCACATGCACGCCCTCAGCAGATAGGGGAGATTAATCCTTTTGATTAAAAGCTAGACCTAGTGCCTTATTTCCAAAGAATAACATATAGAAATGAAAAGATAGTAACTTGATAATGGAGAAATCGGGCAGAATTCACTGTGACCAAATGATCAAGGTTAACATCACTAGTAATAAGTATAATCACATACCCCCTGATACCATGCAACCAGAATGATACTTTAGGGATAATCTTCTAAAACCTCTGTCTATTCAGAGAAGTTCCAATGGAGGGACATTCTACCAAAGACCTAGCAAATAGTCTTCGAAACTGTCTAGAGTAGAGCATCAAGAAAAAGAAAGATTATGAAGCTTTCGGCTCAAGTGAGACTGAAGAGACATGACAAATAAATGCAACATGTGATTCTAGATTGGCTCCTGGAATAGGAACAGATTCAGTGAGGAGACAGGTAACATCCAAATAAAGTCTGCTAGTTGCAAGCACTGCAAGTACTGCACCAGCATGCATTCCTCAGTTTTGACCACCACGCTTTAATGCTCACTGTAGGGGAAGTGGGGTGAAGGGTTCAGAGGAACTCATTGTATAGATTAGGCTGCAACTTTGCTGGAAACCTAAAAATATACCATAATAAACAGTTTAAAATAAAGCTTGCTTTAGCATTACTGCTTGGCATAGCAGTAATGCACTGCTTAAGAGAAGCTGGATCCCAGGTGGTGGCCAGTTGGAACCCCTAGGCCAGACAGCCCAGAACACATGGGCACACATGAGAGTGCCCTATCCAATGGACTAGTGGACTGGAAGAAGGGCATTGCAGTGTGACCAGACCCTGTGGAAGGTATTCATAGCTATCTTCTTCTCTTTATCCCTCTCTTGTATGCACACATGCCCTATCATGAATTAAGACAAAGTTTGAAATCATATAAAAATAAAAATATACAGGTCCCCTAAATTCAAGCTGCCTATTTCATGGACATTCCTTATAGCTTGTCACTTTATACCCTAGAAAATAGGGACCTGAAATAATATATGGGGCCATTATTCATCCTCAATATTTGAAAGCAATTATTATTGGGATGTTCACATTTCCACATACGCCGTTCCCTATCCACATACACGGCAAGTTGCGAAAGCTTGTTCCAAACATCTAACCACATTGTTCTCTCGCCAAGCTCTCAGCAATGTCATGTGGCCACTTGTTAGTGGAGAATTGTCGCAGGTTGTGGTTGTTGTTTTTCCTTTATAGGGGCAACAATGCTGCAGCTGAGGTTCTGTACAAAGAGAATGGCATTCTTTCCATCTGAAAAAAAGGAACAGTTAAAAATACACATTGGTACATACTGCAATTATCATTCAGAGTAAATGCAGGAACAGTGGCATTAACTAATGGCAGTGCAGCAGCTGCCTGCTAATTGAAAGCCATCCTGGGCACCGCGCGGAGGTGGCCGATGCTAATTGCTGATTTAGTCTGTCTATCTGACATCGGTGGGGATTTCACTAGTCAGGGACCGAGGCCACCTTTTCCTCATGTAGTCTAGAGGTGGTTTGGCCTTAGTAAGGTGTTTGCTGGAAGGGGGGGAGATATTGTAATATCATCGTGGGTTAATTAATTTAACATTTGATTCACTGGAATAGGCCAACAGAAGAAGGTTCACTGAAAATTGGTAACAAAATTATCTTTAAAGAGGCACTAACATTAACTGAAAACTAACCGTATGCCAGACAGTGCTAGGCACGTGACCTTGTCTTGAAGTCTTCAATCGACTTGTTGAGAAGTATTGTGTTGTCAGAGAAGTCATGATGTGTTTTTCTATTCAACAATGTGTCATGACTTTTCCACTGACCCAATATTATCAAGCCTGACTGAGTTTACACCATGGGAAGTGTCAGTCACTGACCCCTGATCTCCAGCCAGCTTTTCTCTGTACCAGAGCCCTTCTTATGTGTCATGCCTAACACTCTGAATACCAAGATAACTGTCTTACTCATTTAATCATTGTTATACTTATTTCAAAAGGAATTGAGTTGCCTTATATAGACTCAATAAAACTGGATAGAAAATTCAAAACATTCCCACAAGTATCTGGTATGGAGGTGGGTGCTGGCAATGTCTCTGAGCATCAAGGAATCAAAGTTGTGAGATCCATAGTGTTCATAAGGAAAATACAAATAGGAGAAAGGATGAGGCAGGGGTCAGCAGGCTGTGTGCTGAAGGCAAGGCTCCTCCTTAGAGTCTGCCTTATACTTTGGAGTGATTTTTAACCCTCCCTTGGGCTATGTGTCCTTAGAGGGCAGTAGACCATGTATCCAATCATTTTTTTCCATTCTCCACAGTGTCTTGCACATACTGAATCACAAGTTACTCAATTGTTCAACTATAAATGATAATACCTACTTTGAAGGAGAACTGAGAATTTCATCAGACAATGCATGTCAGAGATTTAGCACATGCCTAGAACATGTGAGGGCTCAATGTATGCTTAGTAAAAGCTTAGTAATGTGAGTTAAATAGCTTACGACAGACAAGACTGCCAGAGGTTACACAGTAATGAGGCAACATATTTCAGTGAGCACTGCCCTTCTGAA